TATCCTGGGAACAAATAATTGGGAAAAGAAAATGATTGACTTTTTTTTTTTTTTTTTGCCAATTGCTTTCTCCTAAAGTAAGTTTATAGTCTTGATGTCATGAGACTTTTCGAGTTCCCCCGTCTCAGTTTGGTCACACAGTTGATTTATAGAGGAGCTGCCAATAACCTGAATAACCTGTTTCTAATGCCAAAAACGGCTGATGCCTGAGCCCTACCTTAGGCCCAGAACTTAAGATGAGAAGATATTTTGGGTGTGCAAGCCATGTTGTCCTTAGCTTTACTCAAAGAAAACATCCTAGTGAAAATATGCATGGATCAATAAATATTTCAGAGGGCGTGATAGTCTCTGGTGAATCTCTGATAGTTCACATGGTTTGCTGCTGCCCTTAATTTCATGTCCTTTGAGCTAGAAACTTCCTTAATTAAAATACAGAAACAAGGAGGCCATCTGCAAAATCCATACTTCCAGTCCACTCATCTGCTACATTGCTTAATGCTGTGTACAATGACCTAGGCCCTGAGCTAGATAATTGCCAAGAATAAATCTTCATTTAGAAAACTGATCAGATGGTTGGTTTGATAAATTCAGAAAAATGTTAGGCAATATTTTTTTGGGAAGGTTATTTGTAGAAGAAATCCCAGGTAACTGATAAACTATTTTCAATTTTAGCTATTTTGAGGGGCACCAATGTAGATGCAGCTTCAGAAGACAAAGGCATTATCCTGACTTGTACATTGCCACCTCTATTCCTCAGCCCCATGTTTAATAAATGAATCAGTTCTGGAAATAATTTACGTTCCCTTTTATATAGATATAACCTGGCCTCTGAACTTTGAAGCTTCTATTAATTATTTTCCTTTTAGACTTCAGTTTGAGATACTTTTGCAGTTTTCGAAAAACAATTAAAAAGTGAAAATGATCTCTTGAACAACAGTTCTTTTTTAACTTTAAACATCTTGTATCTTTGGCTTTTTGTTTTTTGAGACAGGGTCTTGCTCTGCAGCCCTGGCTAGAGTGCAGTGGCATGATCACAGCTCACTGTTTTTTGTTTTGTTTTTGTTTTAATCTGCTGAACATAATCTCTAATTCTCTGCCAATGATCTTAGAGCCAAGACACTCTAGTTACAATATTTCATTATTTGGCTGTGTGATTGTTTTTCTCCTTTTTTTTGGTTGATGAAAAGTTGTACCCAACTTCCTCACTAATAACATGAATGATCTCCGTATCTCTTTATTGTTCATTGATGCATTCCACTATTTTACAGTGGCTAAGTCCATATTCTTGGTGTTGAAAGTCATGAAGATGGTGATGACTTTGTAATGTTCATTGCAGATTCCTAATCAGGACAGAAACTGGCAGGGATGTCCTGCAATTAAACTACTAAGACTTCCATAGTTTCTTCTTTTCATTTGTAGTAGGCTCTTGGGAAGGTCCTTGGGCCTTTTAGTTTAGCAATGCCAAGAGCATTGCTGAAATTTGTATTTGTAAGGGTAGGGGGAGGTTTACTGAAATTTTGAAAAGATTCATGACCTGACCTGGTGGTAATCCTGCTGAGCAAATCCTATTTAGTTTGTTCATACTGCTATAAAAAATACCATAAAATGGGTGCTTATAAACAACAGAAATTTACTTCTTACAGTTCTAGAGGCTGGGAAGTCCAAGATCCAGGCATTCACAAATTTGATATCTGGTGAGGGTTCATTTCCTTGTTCATAGATGACTTTTCCCTATAATTTTACATGGCAAAAGGGGTAAGGGAATTATTTTGGGGTCTCCTTTGTAAGGGCACTAATCCCATTCATGGGAGTTTCATCTTTATGACCTGATCACCTTCCAAAGGCCCCATCTCCTAAGATCATCACTTTGGGGGTTAGAATGCCAGTATGTGAATTTTTGGGGGGCACAAGTGTTAAAACTGCATGAAGAATCCCTGCACTCAAGGTAGCCCAAGAAATAGACTAACATGAATCAATCCAACCCAATTATTGGGAATTCTCATAGTTCTTGCAGAGGTTCTTTCCTTGGCCCATTTTCTTGGAACTTCCCAAACCTAGTCTTTAGACTACTTTCCATGCTCAAACTTCCAAGTATTAGGATATTCCTTCCCCTCATCTTTTGTCCCTGTATTCCTCTACTTTCATCCTACCCCTTTATGCTTCTGCATGTAACTTTATTTTCTTCTTGACTCTATCAAAAGCTATTGATGTCCTGCCAGAAAGATCACCCATTAAAAGCAAACTGCAATATTTTCTAACAAAATTGAGTTAGGGATTCTCAGGACAGGAACAGACATGGCTTCAAATTTAAGATTGTCTGATCTCTACTCTGGGTAGCAAAGAAAAGTGTTTTCCTTCCATTCTGAGGACAATGCCCTTCCTCTCTCTCCCTTTGCTTCCATATCCCTCAATCTCACCACTGTCTAATAAAATAAGCCAATAGATTTAAGGCTGCAGAGAGTATAAAATACTTGAACTTACATAACAAATCATGTTAAATATTTATATTTTAGTATGAAAGACCCTCAATAGTTACATTTAAAAAAGTAACTATTACCCAGGTAATATTTCTGTCCAGAAATTTGAGAAACAGGATTATCTGTAATTATCTACATATTTAAGAAAATTGCACTCCTTATGAAATATATCTTTAGGAATTACTGGAGATTCATTTGAGGGCTGGTTGGTTACCATGACCTTAGGAAGTTACTTAACCTCTCTAAATCCGTTTGCTTCTTTGAAAAATGATAAAAATGTTTTCCTCACAGGGCATATGTGAGAATTATGGAGCTCATGTATATAAACACTTTTTCATAGTTTCTGGCATTAAAAACTCAATATATATTTTTAAATGATGTTGACGGTAATGATATGCTGTTTGTCACCACATGTATTTTTATCCAGAAAAAAAAACAAAAACAAAAAACTTTTCCTCTATCCCTTAGGTTACATACATTGCTATGTTCACCATTTTCCTTTTATAGCTAAAATAAACTGTAACACATCATTTCCTTTTTTTTTGTCAGCTATATTTCTTAAGTTTTGTATTTACTGATAATAATTATGCCACCTATGTCTCTGCTTTTTCATGCTTGAGGGATCTCTGGAACAATCAACGTGCATCATGGTCTGAAAAAACCCAATTTATGGGCAATAAAGTGAATCATCTTATCATCAAGGACAAATATATCTGTTTCCTTTATTGACTGCTGACTATGTAGAGCATACCAACCAAATTGCCATTCATCTATCCATCCAACAATATTTATTAGCTATTCTGCACTGGGCAATGCTCTAGGATTGGGGATAGAACAGTGAACAAACAAAATCCTTGGCCTAATGGATATTACCTGGAAGCGTGCCAGGAAGAATAAACTCACTTGTGAATTACAACAGTAACTGGTTTATTCAGGTCAAAATCTTGTTTTGTCTCCTGAGAATTTCACTGAATTGCAACATGTAGGTGGCAAAGTATACCTCAAGAATTAAGAGCAATTGTGAATAAATGATAAACCACAGAGCTTACATTTACCTCCTAATATAGACCCATATTTATGTAAATAATATGTATGCGTATTTACATTTATGTAAATTACATAATTACACATTTACATTGTAAATATGTAATTTTTACATATTTACATTTATGTAAATATGCATATATATTAGGAGGTAAATGTAAGCTGCAACTGTATACATATATAGTAAGTGGTAACTGTGTACATAGTTACTACTTACATTTATATATGTGTATGTACATATATGTATATATACAATGCACACACATACTGTTACTACAGGGTGTAAAATTGAATAGGATATAGTGTCTTCCCTCAAAGAGTTGTCAATTATGTTGGAGGATATAATAAATACAAAGTCTGTTTCTTCGGTTTAACAAATGATTGATGTGAGGAAAAAAGTTGTAGGAACATGTTCACATAGTCACCCAAATGGAGCATCCTACTCTGTCACCATTTCAGGATTAAGACTAGACAGTCTTCTGTGTTACAAATTGGGACATTAGTGCTCTGCGAAACAGTGATGTTCACCATTCTAAATCCCTTGGTATTACTATTTCATTTATTAAACTACACTTCTGATATTTTAGATTAAAATGTTTTGGCTTATTGCCGTCTAGGAAACCTGTCTTGAATATATAAAACAGACAGCTGATGCACAATCAGGGAAAAATAAGGCAACCTATGAAAATGGCCTTATGGATTAAAAGAAGTGAGCTCCTATATGGTCAGTGGAATCCAGGAAAAATTTAATGGAAAAAGTGTCATCTAAGCTTAGCTTTAAAACAGAGTATCTTCAAGTAGAAAAGGCATAAAGGAGAATATGCCCAAGTGGAGTTTGGCTGGAGACAACGAATAAAGACTAGAAAGAACAATTATCCAAGGCCAGACCTGGTGTTGGAGGGGGCAAGATCCTTACTACTTAAAGACATAGAACAACTAACTGTTCGCTGGGCACAATGAGTGGAATATAGAACACTGCATCTAGTTTAAAACTTTACCCTTCTTAGTGGTTTATTATTTTTTTCTGAAAAAACATGTGTATACTACTTTTACTGCACTTTTTATTTATTTATTTATTTATTATTATTATTATACTTTAAGTTGTAGGGTACATGTGCATAACGTGCAGGTTTGTTACATGTGTATACTTGTGCCATGTTGGTGTGCTGCACCCATCAACTCATCATTTACATCAGGTATAACTCCCAATGCAATCAGATCTTGATTTAAAACTTTACCACTCTTAGTAGTTTATTATAGTTTTTTTTTTTTAAATCTGGAAAAAACATGTGTATACTACTTTTCCTGCACTTTTCTGTATCAGATCTTGATTGGCTCACCACCATTACACACACACATCTCTCTTCTCTTCCATCCTCCAGGTTGTAGAATCATTTGTTGTAAAATCAGTATTCAGTATTCACATAATTATGACAGACTTTACATGACTAGTATTGTTCATAGTTGAGGTATACAGTGTAGTTTTTAAATTTTTATTTTTCTCAGGGTTCAAAATTATATGTTCTATTTTCTTAATTTTGAAAAATATGCAATCACTACTTTATCCCCACTCTATGGAAAAATGAAAGCTCTCTAGGCTGTATTCAAATACGCCAGGTACTCTATCAATTTTTATTTTTTGAAATATTCTACCTGAGCGCTCCATCTTTAGGCATTTCCTGTTGACTTCATACTGTTCTCCCCTACCACTCTCCCTCTTTAATATATTACCGTTTTAGAAACTTTATGGCTACCCTGTAATAAAAGTCATTCCACACTCAACAACAGACAGTACCTTCCAAGTTCCCACTTTATAAGGACAGAACCACCATTCCATTTATTCCCGCCGCCCTCCTTCAACATTCCCACCTGTATTTCCGGCTCTCTTTTTAAAATATGGTAAATAACATTTGCATTCCACTTCGTAACCATAATTATGTACTTAAACAATAAAAACCATAACAACATTTGTATTTTACGATTATTTAAATGTTATTCACTGAACAGCCAAGCTTTGTGCTACTATGGGATTTCCTTTTCTGCGGTTCCAAGCCTCGATCCACGACGTCCTGCCACAGGAGCATTGCAATAGAGCCCATTTTCTCACACTCTCGCCATTAGTTCAAAAGCTTGCAGCATTTTGTCTGGTACTTGGAGGATGCTTTTCCTGTACAGTTTTGCTTTTTTTCACTGAAAGTTTCTGATTATTATTATTTTCTCTTGTGGAATGAAGAAGTATGTACCTTCTATATCACAATCTTAATACCTTCAGCTCTTACTCATTCAAATCTTGCTTACAATCCAGTCCAGTACTCACGGTTTACTGATTTGCTTTTTCCTGAAAATTTTAGCCTTCTGTTTTGTTTTGAAATAATGCAACCTCTGCGCTTTGTCACGTCCTGAAATTCGTCAGGTGTTTTAGGATGCACACTTTCTTAGATCTTTTCGAGGGTGTTAACTGCAGTTCTGTTTCCGGAATCGCGTATTTTCTTTCTAGGAACTGTAGGCTCTCGGCGGCCCCCAGAGGAGCTCTGCTTGTAGCGAAGAAAGAGGCCGCGAACAGCGCCTGAGCGCTAACGCGAGACTGTGGGGCTCGCCATTCGCTGCTCCGCCGCGCCGCAAGGGACCCTGGGAGTAGGCCATTATGCTAGCCCCTGAGGCCGTTAGCTTAGTCACGACTCTAAATGTGTACCTGCAATCGGATGTTGAGGATCACCGAGCCCGCGACGTAGAAGTACGGGAAGTTCATGCGCAGCTGCCAGGCCAGCTCGAAGAAGGCGAGCAGGGTGCGGGAGAGCCCCTTGCAGAAGACGCCGTACGAGGTGGGGGCCGCGGCGGGGCTTGAGGCCCTGACGGCCAAGGAAGACTGAGCCGCCGGGGGGGCCATGGGCCAGGTGTCGCCGCCTGCCCAGCGTCTGTACCGAGGGTTGCCGCAGGGCCCACGGACCCCCTAGCGACGGCTGGGACCGGCGGGACGGTGGGCAAAGCGGCCCCCGGGCTCACACCCAAGCTTGCCGCTGCCGCTGCTGGGTCCGGTGCGGCGCGTCGCCCCAGGCGCCGCTGGCGCTCCGCCCCTTCCTGTCTGCCTCTCACTTTTGGCATTTACCGTTTAGAGCTCAACTGGTGGTTGATCTGGAATAGGATGTGTTATATAGCATGTACGAACAACCATGCAGATATTTCCACTTTAAAATGAAAAAAGCTAAGCGAGATGTAACTTGCTCTAGGGCACAAAATTTGTAAAGTCCAAAACTAGATTAAAACTTTAGTTTGTCTGCTGTGTTCTGTGGGATGTTAGCCAGGAATCTTACCCTTTTGATTTCATAACATTAATATTAGGGCAAGATTATTCCTAAGCCAGTAAAGGCACAAGATCTCTGTATTCATAATATACCATAGGCATAAAGGATCACAATCTTAGTCTTTGGATTTTTCTATGTATTAGGAATATTTAAATTGCAAGTGACAGAAATGATAAACATTCAAGCAAAAAACTAGTAGACACGCGTATATACACACGGACATACATACAAAATCATATTCCCGTCTATGTAAACCCTTAAAAAGTTCAGATTAGCTATGGAAGCTTCAACTATTTCTGCATGGAGATGCATCTGTGAAACCCGTGGCTAGGCTGTAAGGGCTAGAATACTACTCTGTACTTCCAAACTCTTAATACCGTTAGAGTAACTGCACAGTGAATCTCTAATAGCCACAATACTTTTGCTATTTAAATGACGCACATTTCATTACCTTCACTTATCTCCCATTTTAACTAGACAGCCTTGTATGTTTTAATCTTAACACGTCTTCATTCATGGATTATTCAAATGTGTGATTTCTGATCATGACATTAAGATTACAGTCTTGTTCTGAAAAGCATTGTTCAGATACCACACATCGCACCGTGCACTGCATGTCTAGCAGCTATTCAAAGCACAAGTTCAGTACCCTAGAGTACCTCTGTTTCTATATAGTCTACTGATGATATGACTGGTAGAAATAACATGCCATTGAGAAATTTATAAAAATTAATTTTGTTTTCCCAGCCAGTATTTCTTCTTTTGCTACTTTGCTGTACCAATACCACTACCTGGAGATAGTACTTACAGGAATTACTTATGACAACTTCTAAAATACTGGTATACAGACTGAAGAGCAATGTAAAATAAATGATCCATTCCAAGAACTGGGAGAAGTTATGTAATTTCAGTTCACAAATATAATTTACTCCCTTTGAAAATTGAAAGACTAATACATAGAGCCATTCAGGGTCACAGGAGTCATTACGTTCCTGGATTTTTCATTTCCAAATATGTAAAGCTATGTGGACTCTCTCTCTCTTCTGTTCCTCTTTTGTGCCACCCTTTATGCCCTACTTGCTCCAGCTCTGGGTAACTCCATGAAAACTTTGTCTTCCACCCTGAGACCGTGGGGAAAATAGCAGCCACCCACTGATAACATGGCCAGATTGAGGTCCTATTCCAGTGGGAAGGGAATAGGCAAAGAACAGTCACAAAGCTCCAAATCCTACTCCTTAATGCTCTAGAGCGGAAGAAAGATTTCCTTCTTTCCTCCTGAGAGTGGGATAGGACCAATAATGTAGATGGTCATAGTTTTTATCTGCCCCTTGATGTTTTAGATTTGAATGCCTAATCCACATTTCTTGCTAGTAGGCACGTATGAACAGTCTGTCAACAATAACACATCTTAAGCCATTTCTCTGGGTGGTATTTCATTGACTCTTAATTGGCCTTCCTTTCCTAATCTTTTTTCATTTCCCTATTTTTGATGTTATATTCCAGTTTTGATACTTTATAATTTCTTGTTTAGCTTGGTGATCTTTTGGCAAAGTTTTAAGGTAGGCTTCAGTGGGTCTGCAAAGTACCATATTGTCAAATTCTCAATCCCTTTTTGAGAATCTGCCAAGGTAAGTTCTCTCTTATATAAGAAATGCATTCAGAATGCAAGATCGGATTCATAGGATCCAAGCCTAAAGGCAAGAGAAAAATTGCAAATCAGTGAAAGAGTCTGTCCCACATTTGCATGCTAACAAAATGAGTTACCTTTCAATCATCATCACACACTGAAATTTAAAGGAAACTTTTACACAGATTCAGTACAACGCTGAAAGGAGAACAAATTGTATCAATGATACCAATGATTAGGTTCCCTAGCAACACTGGGCAATTTCTGGATCAAGACTGTACAATCAAGCATCAGATGTGTTATACTGAAGCAGACAAACAGTTACAACATGAGAGATTAATATTTTTCTCTGTGTATTCTAGTTATAAGGAAGAATATTTTGCTGAGGGTGATATTAGGAGAATTCATGATTAGAATATTTGGAAATGGCTTGATTGTACAGATTGACTGCATTGACTGCCTTAGGCATTGTAAGATTCCTTTAACTGACTTTTCATAAGTTTAGCCATCTCCAGAATTTATCAGCTATGTTTAATACTGCTTAATGCTTTTGTACTTACGTTCACACCACACCATTAACTTGCGCTAATACCAAACTAGAAAAAAAGTACAATTTCCTTTTGGACACTGATCAATACTCAACCCTCTGGTTTGCTATCTGCCTGATAATTTTTGGAGGTGGGGGCAATTCAAGATAGCTAATTTTTTCTCAGCCATTTTTCCTCTGGACAAAATGTAGAATTAATTATGTGAATATTATGATTCTGATGGAGTCCTTGGTTTATTAACATTCCATTGGGATATAAATGATTTTGGAGTCTGTAATCTTTCTTACTTTCTTTTTATCGTGTACTGTTTTTCAACTTTTATATCAGATTCGATTCACTTTATGGTAAACAGCCTGCTGGGCATGATGCTTTTGTACATAGTAGCAACTTTCTGCCTTTCTGATCACTCTGATTCTGATTCTTGGGAAGAACAAGCTGAGTCAGACCTCTTATAATGCTGTGAAAGATTATATTCTTGATGTGATGGGAAACCTTGGTTCCTTGAAAGTCTTAACGAAAACTGTTTTTTGTATTAGGAAAAAATAAAATCAAGTAGAAGCCCACATAAAAACTCTTTCATTTTTCTTTTCTTTCTTTCTTTTTTTTTTTTTTGCTATGGCTTTAATATATGCATAGAGTTTGGCATCATTGTAATTCTCACCAGAACATACTCAGAGCTAAACATATACTCTTATTTCCATATTTCAAGCAAGACTTTTCTTTTTCCTCCCCCACCTCTCTTTTAAACAATGAAACACACTTAATAATTGTCAGATTATTAAGATCTATTGTATTCTTCATTACAAGGCCAGAGAGGTTGCATGAAAAATCACCTATATGTGAATCTATTTTTTTAATTGAGACATTTATAAACCATGCATGTGGAAGAATATGATACAGCATGCATTTATGCATGCATTTTGAAAAGCATCTCGAGAATTCTGCTTCCTTTTAGAAGGTAGAAAACCAAAAGAAAATGTTGCTTCTGCTCTAACAAGGGGAGTAAACTAGGTAGGCTACAAAGTCGTAATTTATTTTGAGCTTGTTAGAACTGAAGTTACAAGGTGAGCAGGTAAACTGAATTTTAGCATTTTGGGAGGCCGAGGCGGGAAGATCATGAGGTCAGGAGATCTAGACCATCCTAGCTAACATGGTGAAACCCTGTCTCTATTAAAAGTATGAAAAATTAGCTGGGCATGGTGGTGGGCGCCTGTAGTCCCAGCCACTCAGGAGGCTGAGGCAGGAGAATGGCATGAACCCAGGAGGTGGAGCTTGCAGTGAGCTGAGATCGCACCACTGCATTCCAGTCTGGTAGACAGAGCAAGACTCTATCTCAAAAAAAAAAAAAAAAAAAAAAGCCTTTGCAAATAGGAGACACAAATTGTTTCATCTGTGACAGAACTCCACAAGAGTTCTCTGACATGTCGATAGGTAACAAGAAAATGGCTGAAATTTTAACCAGTTCTTACAAAGGTTGAGTGTAGTTTAATGTAACAGTTTAGAGTACCTGGGAGCCCCAGACACAGGAGTGATCAGTAATTGCCAGCTTTTTCCCTTGGGCTTCTACCGAATGCTTACTGGAAAGGTTGAGGACAGAGCAGGAAACCTGGGAAAGCTCCTTTATGGTACATGGTATAGGAGATAGAATAATGGCTTTTCCAAAGATGTCTATGACTTAATCTTTGGAACTAGTTAATATGTTACATTACACGGCATGGGGACTTTGCAAATGTGATTTTTGGTATGCACCCTGAGATGGGAGATTATCCTGTATTATTTAGGTGGGTTCAGTCTAATTATATCAGTCCTTAAAAACAGATTATTTCTTAATTAGGGTTAGAGAGATGCAACACTTCTGACTTTGAAGATGAAGGAGGCCCCAAACTAAGGTCTGCAGGTAGTTTCTAGAAGCTGGGAATGGCAAGGAAATGGATTCCTCCCTAGAGCCTCCAGAAAGCAATGCAGGCTTGCTGATACCTGGATTTTAGCTTAGTAAGACATATATCAGACTTTGATCTACAGAACTGTTAAGATAATTTTGTAGCATTTAAGCCACTAAATTTATGATACTTTGTTTCAGCAGCAGTGCAAATCTAAAACAAATGGGAACAAAGTCTTCTTAAGTTTTAAGGAGGAGTAATAGAAACTGGAGAAGCCCATTTACACTGGAACTTGCCTGAGTAAAAGGTGGTTGTTGGCCAGTGCTAGGGGACAGGCAAGAAAACTACACATGTTCTGGATCTTTATTAAGCAAAATCTGCCTGCTGCTGAGTGAGGGGCGGGGCATCCACTGTAGCTTAGACCCTACTCTGGTATTGGGCAATAGCTGATTGGCACCGGGGGTGGGGTAGGAAACCTCCCTGCACTCCTGGGTCTGCATTGATACTTGTTAGAGATCTGTTGCCACAGGGGAAGTCCAGGAAACTCACTTGCTCTGGACTGCATGCTGGCTAAATGGAAAGGATCTGCCACTGAGGGAGGGCAGAAAACCCACCAACCCTGAACTCTGCATGAACACCAGGAAAAAGCCATTTGCTGCAGGAAGGGGGCAGTTAATCTGATGATATCAAGACCCTCCAGTGATACAAGGCATTGATTAACTGA